AGTGTTTGTGTAGTGTTTGTATGGGGGGGGAAAGGTAGGGAGGCTTTTTTTTTAAATTAAAATAAATATACTTTATGTCCCACCTCCCTTCTTACCTTTACTGGGAGGAGGGGGGACATTTCTGGATCCCTGGTGGTCCCAGTGGTAGGAGTGAACTCTAGCCCGCACTCCAGGGCTAGCGCTCACTCTCGCGAGATTTGGAGCGTTGCCGTGGTAACCGGGGGAGATTCTGCTGCCTGGCGGGGGGGAGGGTCCTCTCTCACTCCCTCCCCCCGCCGGCTGCCAGTGTATGGTGGGCAGTGTGTGTATGGGGGCAGTGTATGGAGGGCAGTGTGTAGTGTGTACAGGGGGCAGTGTGTGTAGTGTGTTTATGTAAAGGTGTATGGGGCAGTGTATGGGGGGCAGTGTGTGCAGTGTGTGTATGGGGGGCAGTGTGTATGGGGACAGTGTATGGGGGGGGGTTGCAGTGTGTGTAGTGTGTGTATGTAAAGGTGTGTGTAGTGTGTGTATGGGGCAGTGTATGGGGGGGGGGCAAGTGTGTGTAGTGTGTGTATGGGGGCAGTGTGTGTGTAGTGTGTGTGTATGGGGCAGTGTTTCAGGGCAGTGTGTAGTGTGTGTATGGGGGGCAGTGTGTGTAGTGTGTGTATGGGGGCAGAGTGTGTAGTGTGTGTATGGGGCGCAGTGTATGGGGCAGTGTGTGTATGGGGGGCAGTGTGTGTATGTGGGGCAGTGTATGGGGGCAGTGTGTGTAGTGTTTGTATGGGGAGAAGGAGGGTAGGGAGGCTTTTTTTTAATCTAATTAAAATAAATATACTTTATGTACATTTCTGGATCCCAATGGTAGGAGTGAACTCTAGCCGCGCTCCAGGGCTAGCGCTCACTCTCGCAAGATTTGGAGCATTGCCGTGGTAACCGCGGCAACGCTCCAAGCTTGCGAGAGGAGGACCCAGATGAGCTGCAGGCTGAGCTCCAGGGTCCTCTCTCACTCCCTCCCCCCGCCGGCTGCCAGCACAGTGCCTGCGGACCAGGGAGGGAGATCATTGATCTCCCTCCCCGGTCCGCAGGCACATTGCAGGGCTGGCACTTGGACAATGCCAGCCCTGCATTAGCCAGCAGAGGAGAATCTTGGGGGGGCAGTTGCCCCCTTGCCCACCCCTGGATCCGCCACAGTCTACCCACCATAACCATTTCCTCTCATTTAAGAGGTTATGGTGCCTTGAGTCCACCTGGTCTTATTCCACTATTTAGTGTCAATTGGTTTTCCAGCAATGTAACACTGAATAAGGGTCCATTGGTGCCCATGGCTCCATCCTCCACTAGAGGTATAACTAAAGTGGAGTAACAGCCCGCCTAACCAACACACAACACAATGATAGGTGGCAGTGATTGGTGGAGAGCACTCAGCTGACACTCTCAGCCTATCACTATCAGCAATACTTAGCCCAAGCAGCAGAGCAGGGTCAGGCTTCAGGCAGCCATGGGCCCTGATTCAGTGTCAGAGGAACACTCTAAGCTCCATAACCATTACAGCATGCTGTAGTGCCCTGGTGTCTCCCCCCCACCCCCTTACTTCAAGGTGTGTGTAAGTAGTCAAACAGCTTGTCTGGGGTGGCTCCCTGCCTCATCTTCATCTTACTCTTTGCCAGAATCCCTCAGTTCTGAGCTAAGTAATATGGTGTGGGGCTTAGCTCATTGGGTGAAAGCAATCAGGTAATGCTTTTAGTCAACTAGTTTGTTCTGCACAGCTGGACTTAGCTCAGGAGAGCTAACAGAAACTCCTAGCAGGAGCATCTGGCTTTCCTGAAGGCTGAGAGGAAGTGTGGACCATAGGCAAGATGCCAAACCATTACTAAACAGTTTGACTAGTTACATTGGAGGGGTTGCCAGCACCGCTGGCATCGTAACCACTACATCCCTCTGTAGTGGTCTTGGTGTCTGTATTTGATAACACTTTAAAGTTGAACAGCAAGACTGATTTAAATGACTCTGACACTATAACCATGTCAATGAGATGTGTGGCTAAGAGTGTCCCTTTAACTGAACTGCAATATGGAACCAAGGTTCTCAACCCATGGTACTCAGAGTATATACTTCGGAATTAGTTCAGAGTTTAAGATTATAGGAACGGGATAGAAAAAGTAAAGATTAGTGAAGCTGGTGGATAAAACATTGAAGTTGTGGTAATTGCACGGAAAAATATGTTGCCAGAAGTATCTTTCAAGAAAAGTTTGAAAAACACTGTATTAGAGTAAAAAGCTCCAAGGCAGGTAACACAATATATATAAAACAAACTTGGAAAGCATCTGAATTGTGTATTGATTGTTATTTTTTTCAAATACCTAAGGTCCAATCTTCCAACCCTGTTATTTCATGTAATATATCTTCACTGACTGTTAAAAGTTATAAAATAAAAACAAAACAAACTGTTTGAAAAAAGAAAAACTATAACCACAATGTCACCGCTCAGTCATTTTTCACAGTTAACAACCAAAAGCAACATCTTTAGCATCTTGGGAGTGTAGGCACAACATGTTAAACTTTAGAGAACAGAAAACTGAATTGTAAAATTGAGACTAAAATAGTCTGTGACTATAGCAAGGTTGGAGATTTTTTTTTTTTCTAAATCAGCTTTTTTTGCCTATATCTTTTCATTCAGAGTTCAGTTCACTACAATTGAAAATTAATAAATTGGGATTGTCTCAATAATTCACACCTTAGTTAATAGCCCCGATGAACATTTTCAGGGTTATTCATTAAAGTTAGAATTAAAAAGTGAATTCAGAATAGCCAAACTAAAAGCATTGACTTAGAGATTGTCTTCCAATTCAGCTATTTTGACCTTAAATTTGAAATTCACTGTGATCTTGCACTTTACTGAACAACCCTGTCTATATTTGATGTTGATAAATGTGCTCTTTGAAATGTTCGATA